TTAGTTCTATGATTTAAATTTAATTAGTAAAGTTTTCATTTTTCTGTTTATGTTCCCTATAGTTTTTCCTTATAATGAGCATATTTTTCTTTCTTTTTGTTTGGTCAGAGTCTCACTATATAGTTCAGGCTGACCTAGAACACATTATATGGCTTAGGCTGGCCTTCAACTCCTAGCAATCCCCCTGCCTCAGCCTTGTGAGTATTGGGGGCACAGGTGTGTGCAACCACATCCAATTTCTTTGCTTCTTCATATGTTAAAATTCTGTTGTATTGACTCTTCACATCTAGGTCATTGTGGATGATGGTTTCTGTGATCTTTTCTCATGAACGTGGTTTAATTTTCCTCCCTGGGTTAACAGCCTAAGTTTGCAGGCCAAAACTTAGAGAAGGGGGAGGGCCACAAGGAAAGCCAACATTTTGGCCCTAGCGTTCCCAGGTCAATTAAGACTCAGGACATATGAGAACTTGTACTGTAACATCATGTAACCCAGTTGTGTCCCAGATTTTCTGATCAAGGAGATTATGGGGCCAAAGAGGAAAGTGATCGATAATGTAGAGTGTGCCTAAGGAGAGTCACATGGACAGAAGATGTTCTCTCAGGCTTCCACAGAGAGCAAATTGGCCAAGCAATGGCTGTGACTCATCCACATGGCTGACACTGACAAAAGATCTACAATCTGAGGTATAGGGTCTCAGGATAAGTCCTGAGAGGATTTGACTGAACTTATCAGATTCAAAAGCTACAATTCTTATTGTATAGGTCTTGCTTTATCTTGGTCTTAACCATCCAGCAGAAAAGTATAAAAATGAAGTATAAGAAGTAAAGCTATGGTGTTATGTTGAGCTGTAGGGGACTCAGGTCAGCAACTTCTGACATTGCCAGTCAAATGGAAGACCCAATACTATTATGGACTACTGGACTATTTTGGGGTTTTTTTGTTTGCTTTTGGTTTTTTAAATTTTTTTATTGAGAAATAAATATGAATGAGACAGTTTCACAGCTGATTTTTTTTTCACAGCTGATTAATAGGACAGTTTTGATAATCAATACATTGTACATTGTTATCTTCTTAGTGGTTATCCATAGTACAAGAAGCAGACAGGATATTCTGTCCAAACACTGTTAGTACAC